ACCAAATATGGACTGTCCCAAATGTGTGACTATAAAGAGAGTTGACTGTACATAAACTCTATGACTATAATCAAAAATCAGTCCAATACCCTAGACAATATGTCTTCTTCATTAAATAGTTTAACTAAACATCTCGCGGTGGCGTCCTCACAATCGGTACCTATTCAGCCACCGCCGTCGTCAATACCTACGAACCTTATTAAATCGCCATGGTCACTATCTATTTCTCCATCATCATCAGTAGCGTCCCCATTATCGTTACTTCAGCCGCCGCCGTCGTCAATACCTACGAACCTTATTAAATCGCCGTGGTCGCTATCTATTTCTCCATCGTCGTCAGTAGCGTTCCCATTATCGTCACTTTAGCCACCGCCGTCAATACTTACAAACTCTATCGAGTCTATTCAATCGATACCTATTCAGCCGCTGCCGCTAATACCCACAAACTCTATTGAGTATACTCAATCGATACCTATTCTGCCGTCCAAACCTATTCAATCGCCGTGATCGGAACCTATTCCGTTGTCGTCTTCTCTGTCATCTTCTCTGTCATCGTCTCTGTCGTCTTTGTCATCTCTGTCATCTTTGTCATCTCTGTCATCTTTGTCGTCTCTGTCGTCTATATCGTCGTCTCTGCTGTTACTGCTGTTACTGCCATCTCTATTGCCTTCAAACAAAATTTATACATCGAGGGGCGTTCTCTTATCAGAAAGAAATTGGATAGCGCCAGTTAATAAATATATAAAGGCGTGTTACCTATGTGAATATTTTGGACATGGGGGAATGAATGCCCAAATCTAGATAGCCGCTTTGCGGGAAACTGTTTTAATTGTTGGGAGTTAGGGCATAGTTCTTCAAATTGTAGGAGGAGAGCGAAAGAAATTCCATTTAATGAAGGATTTATAAATCCAACAAATTTATTTGAGTGGATGATTTCAAAAAGATAGGGTTGGGTTGGATGGGCTTTTTTTTTCAATATACTTTTTTTTTTCTTTTAAAAAGGTGCCAGGTAGGCTGAGCAAACTAGTATTTGCTAAAGGTGCCAGGTAGGCTGAGCAAACTAGTATTTGCTAAAGGTGCCGGGTAGGCTGAGCAAACTAGTATTTGCTAAAGGTGCCGGGTAGGCTGAGCAAACTAGTATTTTTTTTTCTCATAGCAATATTTTTTTTTCTTTGCTAAAGGTGCCGGGTAGGCTGAGCAAGCAACTAGTATTTTTTTCTTTTTTATGAAAAATGTTATGATCTTTTTAATTTTCATAATAAAAATTAGTTCATGTAAATAAAATGTGCTTCGTAGTCTGTCAACTATTCAACTTTCTTATCTTACCAAAATTATATAAATTTGTTGCCAATTGATTTATGACTGATTTATTATATTATTCTTATTATATTAATCATAACTGCTTGGATAATCATATTTTTGCGTGAGAGTTTTTCGAAAATCAAAATTTTTTGAGGGAATGATTTGCTATTTTAATCGAAAGAAATTCTCTTCTTAAATCGAACAAATTTTTACGGGACATTGTTCCTATCAAATAAATTCAGAATTTTGAATTATTTATTATATTTAACGAAAATTTTTAGATATGATTTTACTAATAAATGTATATTTAGATTAAATTCTAAATTTATTTTAAAAAAAATACGCAATTTTTTAATTAATAATATAATAATATTCGTACATATATATGTGCATATACACTAAAAATAAATATACATATATTTTTTAACTATCTCCTAATAAAACTTGCAGAGCTTCATCAATATTCGGACTTTCATTAGACTCAAAAGCTTGTAATATCAAGTCACGTTTTTTCTTTTGAAGTTTAAACACGCGATCCTCAATCGTATTCTCAATAAAAAATCTAAAGACAGAAACTGGTCGAGTTTGACCAATTCTATAAATTCGATCTATAGCTTGATCCTCAATACTTGGATTCCACCAAGGATCCATAAGAAAACATTGATTAGCTGCGGTAAGATTCAATCCCAAAGATCCACATTTTAAACTAATTAGAAGAACTTTTATTTTTGGATCATTGTTAAAATTATTTACTGCCTCCTCTCGCTGATTACATAACATTTTGCCATCAAATCGAATAAATTTGACATTTGCGTCTTTAAAAGCAATTTCAATCAAATCAAGAAAAGATGTCCATTGGCTGAAGACTACTGATTTATCATCATCATTATTTTGATTTAAAAATTCCACCAAAGCTTCAATTTTGGAACTTATCTTAAATCATTTAAATTTCCAATTTCTTCTTTGTTATCAATTCCATTTATTTGATTTATTTGTCTCTTACAAAGAAGTTGTGTGTGATTACAAATTTGTCTTAGTCTAAGAATCATTTCAAGAAATGTTACATAATTATTTTTTAAATCGCCATTTCTTGATTCTTTCCAACTTCTAAATTGTTCTTTTGTATCACTTTCCATTTTATCATAAATTTTTCTCTCGTCCATCTTAAACTTAATTTTATGACCATACACTAGTCAAAAACCAATATATCGGGTAGCAGATATGTATCAGATATGTATCCGATATGTGTAGTATTAATGCAGAAAATCGGGTACCCGATATGTGTAAAATATGTGTAAATATATATATCGTCTACATATCATTTACATATCATATACATATCGGTACCCAATATGTATATGATATATATATTTACATATATCTTACACATATCGGGTACCCGATTTTCTGCATTAATACTACACATATCGGGTACATATC